GCTCACTGGCTGAGCGTGGTGCTGACAACACCAAGCCAAGGGTTGAGATCCCCTTACTGGTCATCTTTTTAAAAAAAAAAAAAAAAAATTTAACACCCACATGAGGCTAGTGACAAGGTCTGCATTTGAAATCTCTTGGTTTTTTCATGTTTGTGTGTGGTCCTTCTCATCTCAGATTTTTAATTTCTAAACTCAAGTGCATTTTCTTCTGACCTTGCTCTACTTTCCAATGTCTTAATCATCATGTGATATTTGGGAGGCAGTATAATATAATGCTCTATAAATATTAGTGCTAATTATTATTATGCCTAGATATCTCATTTAAAAGTCTAGCAAATGTGTTTAATATAAGCAGGGCATAATTGCTTTATAATGGTTCCTAACAGTAAGAGAATGTGTTTTTACAAAGAAAGAGGAAGCTTATGTCTCCTTTTTCTTTTTTTTGGCAATTTGTCAACATTAATTTTATTTTTAAAATATATCATATGTTAACAATTTCACATCAATTTTTTTGCATTAGAAAGGTGAATATCTTAGGTATCTAAACTGATTCTTTCCTATCATAGTTTAACAAATTATAAATTTTTAATTTTTTAAAAACATTTACAGTAATTGTACATATTTATAAGGTACAGTGTGATATTTGAATACATGCATACAATGTGTAATGATCAAATCAGTGTGGTTAGCATATCCATCCCCTCAAATCTTTATCATTTCCTGTGTTGATAACATTCAAAATCCTCTCTTCCAGCTTTTGAAAAACTACGATGACTTATTGTCTACTATAGTTACCCCACAGTACTATGGAAAGCTAGAACTTATTCCTCCTGTCTAGTTGTAATTTTGTATCCCTTGACCAACCTCATCCTACCTCCCCCCGCCCCCAGCCTATAGTAACCACTATTCTACTCCTTACTTCTCTGAGGTCAACTTTTGGGGAAGCTCACTTTGTAAAAGCATACTAGGTATCTTAAGTATGGAACAGGCATGCTACACCTTTTCCTCCATTTCCAGCTGTCTAAATACTACCCACTGGAAGCACCTTCTAAGCTTAAAACACTCATAAGAGGAATAAAGATTTTTTTTTTCCTTATAACTTTTTCAAGGGAAAAAAATAAAATTTATGTTTTAGGGCTGGCCCAGTGGCACACTTGGTAGAGTGCGGCGCTTGGGAGCGCGGTTCGGATCCCATATAGAGACCAGTCCGCTCACTGGTTGAGCGCAGTGCGGGCGCGACACCAAGGGTTGCGATCCCGTTACTGGTCACGAAAAAAGACAAAAAGGAAAAAAAATAAAATAAAATTTATGTTTTAATTTTACTTTACTAAAATACTGAGTTTACTTCACTGGTATATTTTTGTCTCCCTACCATTTCCATTTGTCTGACCACTGCTACTACTGTGTACTGTTATAACATTCCATACATTCTTAAAACCAAGCAAAGGGTAGAGTTGCATTTATAAAAACTAAACTGGCCTTTTGGACAGTACATTCTTGGCAATGAAACCTGAACAACGCTTACCAAACACAGTGGGGAAAGCTCTCACTCTGCATTGTAAAAAGGACAGTCCAATATAAACAGTTACAGAAATGAAATAAGGCAGAAAATTTTAACATGCTATTTAAACTAGTTTCTTAAAGAGACTTTTTCCACTGCCAGAATAGCCTCCTGGTCAGTCATCCAGAAGCAATTCTTCCAACAATTGGTGAACTTGGCTTCCATTTTGGGAAAAGAACCAACTTTTTCTATACTTGCTTGCATCTTTGCTTTAATGTCTTTTACAGAACTAGGTCCTTTTGGTGTTTTAGGAGTTCTTCCCTGCTTCTTGAAGGATTCTTGACCTTTTGATATTGGTGTTGATAGTTTTGAGTTTTTAACATTCTGGTTTGATTTTTGTGTGTTTTTGGCTGGAGTATCTCATTTGGATTTCTTCACTGGGGCTTTTTCTTCAGTTTTCTCCTCATCAAAATCATCATCATCATCTTCATCAGCAGCAAGTTTTACTCTCTTCTGTGGAAAACACTACCACTTCCAGGGGCAGATTGCTTTCCAGGTATAGTTACAAGTTTCGTATCTTCTTCCTCTTCATCTTCGGACTCTGCATCTTCCCCCACAGCTACTGAGTGCTGTCCACTAATCTGTATAGGCCCTGATCTATACTTGAATTATAATACCAGAAGTGGTGTTATTTCAAAGCCCCCTAGTCAAACCACTGGATGTACAGGCATTTTCAAATTTAATTGTACTGCCTTCATAATTCATTGCCTCTGCTTCAACAATGTGCAATTCATTCTTTACACCAAGCCCCTAAACTGACTGTTCTTAAAGATAACTTGTGCTCCATCATTACCCACTTTAAAGTGATAATCTTTGTTGGCCTTTAGTTCCCAACTGGAAAGGTAGTTCTGAGGTCTCAGGAGACTTATGTCCATGTTCATCAACTCTTTTATACACAGGTGGGAGAGAAGGAGGACAGAGAAAAAAATGACTGTGTTCCAGATAACCCACCGCATAGCACAGAATCACACTAGCAATAACATTTTAAAATTAAACAAAATGGGGAAAGTGTTCGAAACAAATAATGCAATAGGATTTACAATGCTTTTTCACTCCAGTATAATATAAAGATATCTTGAAAGTTGGTACTGATATTCCCTTTAGGAAAGGAAGTATCCTTGCTTGAGAAAATACCTTGATAGGGCCGAGCCCGTGGCGCACTTGGGAGAATGCGGCGCTGGGAGCGCTGCAGCGCTCCCGCCGCGGGTTCGGATCCTATATAGGGATGACCGGTGCGCTCACAGTGCTCACTGGCTGAGCGCGGTGTGGTCGGTCTCAAAAAGGACAAAAAAAAAAAAAAGAAAGAAAGAAAAAGAAAATACCTTGATAAACCAGTAGAGTAGGAAGGTAAACGTAGCTTGGGTAAATGGAGACAAAGAAAACAAAGAGACAACTAAATTAGTCTCCATTGGAACAGAAACTGGGGGGTGGAAAGGTGGGAAGAAGACATAGGGATGTTAAGGAAAAAGAGAAGAGAAAGACAAAAGCATTATGTGACAAAGGACTTCTGCAAAGAAGGTTGTTTAGAACTCCGTTTGAGATTTCTTCAGTTGCTGTAATGTAAATCCTTTGCCACCTGCCCTAACCTTTAATAAAGCCTAAGCTTAAATGCTTCATGTGACTATTTTTTTTGGTAGAAATTAATGATATCCAGGTTACATTATATAAAGAGGTCAGCAAACTGATAAGAATACTAAGACTCCAACAGACAAAGGAG